GGGGGGGGGGGGGGGGTTGCTGAGGTCTCCCATAAAGACTAGTCTTAAATAAAAGTGTCTTCCCCCTCCCCAACCCCATGTTCTCATGGAGGCAACCTTGGTCAGAAATGAGTTTTGGTTTCCTCCCATCCCGCTTCAAAGAGGGCAAAGGCTTTAGAAGGAAGTGAGTATCAGAAAAAGATGGGTGGGGGGTGAGAGGAGAGAGATGAATCACTGCCCCATGCTCAGTTTCTAGTCTCTCTCGCTGGCCTGACCTGTCAGCCCTCTGGTGTAGTCCACACCAGAAACCAGAGTACTAGCACTACCATTATTGTAAGGTTACAGTCACTGACTCTTGCAAGTCTGAAGCCCTTCTTGTCTTTACTTTCCAGGGAACTAGGGAGGGTCCCTTCTGAGATGCTTTCTCCACTCCTATTCCTTCTGTGGGCTGAGACGTCTCTTATTTGACCATTGCCCGGCTGCGGCTCTTCCTCCTCCCGTCTCTCAAGGATATCCCCACAGTCCATTACATCACACGAGTGCCAAAATGTATTCGCCCACCCTTCCAACCCCCTGGGACGGAAGGGAGCAAACAGGGCACCCTGGGTCACCTTACCGCAAAGGATGCGTATCAAACATGGGGGGCTGCAGCTCAGCCAACTCAATTGCCGTGATGCCCACCGACCACACGTCACAGAGTTCATTGTACCCCCCTTTCAGTTCCACAGCTGCCACTTCAGGGGCCATCCTGGAATAGAGGGTGGGGGGCTGTATCTCACCTTCAGGCTCACTACTCCTTCAAGACCCTCTTGAGTCCCATTAGGAACGTTACTGCTCCCCAGTGTGTCTCACTGGGGTCTTCTCCAATCTCCTAACCAGGTTCATCAGGACAAAAGCCTACAAGCCAGAACCTCCCCTCTCCCTTCCTGGCCCACCAGTGCCCCTTGCAGAAGGGACAATGCTGTTGAATGAGTTTGTCCCTGAAAAAGGACGGGGGGAGGAATCTGCACATGATATGGCCCTTTGTTAGCATTATATGTTCTGGAACAGAGTCAGATTCTGAAACTGGGGCACCTTCCAACCTGCCACCCTTCTAATTGGCAGCTCAGATACCCATCGGGTCAAAGAGTGGGTTCTTTTTACCAGTAAGGGGTCCCAATGAAAGACATTCGGCGGGCAAAGGTGGCACTGAGTTGAGCTGAGATTCCAAAATCAGCTGGTGGAAGGAAAGAAGAAGAGAAAAAAGGGAGAGGTTGAAAGGACTCTTGTAAAACTTCATCGTGCTCAAGTTTGGTGAGATAAAGGGTATGGACTTCAATTAAATCCATGGGGTTCTGGTAGCAACTTTGCCGGCTAACAAACTTTATTCAAAGGCATCATCAGCTCACAAAAGCTGATGCTTTTGAATTAAATCTGTTAGGCAGAAAAGGTGCTACCGGACTCCTGATGTTTGGCTGTCAAAGGGTCACGCAGCTCTCCTCGTGCAGGGTCTACAATGAAATCTACAAGTTTTCTAATTCCTACTGAAATCATAAACCCACACCCCCCCCTCTAAAAAGCACCTAAGAAGTTCGCACATAATGCTAAACCAGGATTTTTAACTCTGGTTTGTTGAACAAGCCAGAGTGACCTGCTTCCCACTGAGCCAAGCCCTAATGGATGGATTCATGCAAAGCCAGAAATCAAGATCCATCTTAGTTTAATGCCTGATCAAGGCACTTCCTGTAATTCAGCACTCAGACATGGGATCATCTTAACAGCCAGAGGTCCAGGCATGGAGGAAGAGGGGCTACATCGTGCCCATGGACCCTCTAGACGTGGTAGCCAAGGGTGCCCGGCCCAAGTCAGCTTCCAGGCTGGTAGAGACAATGTTCAGATACTGAACATACCCAGTTTTACTTCTCCCTGGTCGTTGAGAAGGACGTTGGCTCCCTGCAAAGCAAAGAACACAAAAAGGAAGTGAGAGGTAGCTGAGCGAAGCGGGGTGTAGCTGGCGCATGGAGGGTACCAGCCGCCCTCACCCATCTGGACACCATTCCTCACTCCCAGAGTCGAAGTTCCCCTTCTGTTTGAAGTTCCAACCTCTTCCATGCAAACTCTGCCTGCCACACCAGTGTGTGGGGACCCAGCTGCAGTTTAGAGAAAAACACTCTGAACATGCCCAGAGATGCCTTTTTTATTGCTAGAGCTTCCCCCTCCAAAGGTCTGGGCTGAATTCCAGCCTCCTGTGCCATTTTAGGCTCATGGCTGAGAAGTTCTCTTCCCTTCATACATTTTCCTTCTCATATTTTCCTTCTTAGACCTATCACTGTTTCTTGGAGCTGTTTCCTCTTGAAACAACACTTTTCTGATGGTTATGTGGCCTCCCCATCCCCTTTACGCACCACAGGCTTCTCCTCTAAGCCCAGATTTAGCTCACTCAACGCCCTTGTGACATCCTCAGCTTCCATCATCCCAGCCAGGAGGACCTCGGGGGGAATAACTGACTGAAAGTCTATAAACTAAGCTCAGGACAGACGGTTGGCAGTCTTCTCAGTTAATTTCACTTTCAAGAGGGAAGTAGAAGGTTCCAGTGCTTTGACTAATCAACTGCCTAATATGAACTGATCAGCATTTGCAATCATTACAAAGACCATCTGATCATTGGGAGGGGCGGGGGGGGGCAAATCCAAAAATGCTCGGGTCCTTTGTGAGACCTTTCAGGTTTTCAGTATTTCAGAGGCACCCCGTATAATCTGCCAGAACTTGTCTGGACATTGCTCTGCAAAAGAGTTGCTTTTCTGCCTCGTTTGTAGAGTGCTTACATTATGACTACAAGCTGGCAAAAGATAGTTCAAGTGCAGTTAGCTTTGGTTTCTGTTATATTTCTTCCCATCGCTCTGCACGCGCCGCCCCCCCGTTGCTGCTCTGGCAGTAACCTGCGTCCTGTTCGTGTGATTGTCACCAAAATGTTCTACTCGATCTCAGTAATACTCATAACACTTATTTAAACATGCAGAAGGCTCAGCGCTGCACTCCCACGTGACACGAGCCTAACGCTGCAACTTAGCTAAATCCGTGGCCTCCGCCCCACGCGGCGAGTTGGCAGAAAGTCCATCTAGATCTACTGGTAGATTTGCAGAAGATCGCTGCGACTTTCAGCTTCCCCAAGGATCTGTCAAAAATAGCAGCAGCCCCATGACTGCTTCCTTTCCCTGCCCTAAAATATTTTTCTGAAGAAAGCCGGAGACCGACTGAAACATCGGAGAAGGTTTTGCTTCGTGATTCTTACCTTTATGTCTCGATGGATCTTGCCTTGGTTGTGAAGATAAGACAAACCCTAGAAGGGGGGAAAAAAGGGGGGGAGAAATCTCCCATCCTATAAACACGTCTGCAAATACCGCCTGGTCAACTATCTTTGAAATATGACTGATATAATGACATTTAATATACTTTTGGGGGCTTTTTTATTTACTGAATACCACAGAAGAAGTTTTTAAAGAATGAAAGAAACAAGTAAGAAAAGGGATGAAGACGGAAGCAGCGCGACGACGGCGGCGACACATCGAAGGGCTTCTCGCAACCGGGCCTCTGTGAGGCGTGATGAACTCCACAGCCCATCAGCCACAGCCGGGGAGCCGTGCTAGCTGCAAATGATGGGAGCTGTAGTCCTGCCTTTGAGCTACGGCAGCGGCAGGGCTTTGAAACGGACTTCCACCAAGGGCTTGTGTCGTGTGGGGAAACTTCGGTTGGGTTCACACAACACACAAAGCCACGCACTTGCTCCGCTGGGGCTTGGCCTGTGCACAGCCAGCCACATTTTGCTTAATGCTCCCTCCATGGCAGTGTTTCTCAACCTACAAGCAACATCTAGTACGAGCGGAAGATGCAACAGGATATTTCTTGGCTCGGGGAAGTTGTTTGGTTCCTCTAGCACAATGTTTCTCAACCTCGGCCACTTTAAGACAGGTGGACTTCAACTCCCAGAATTCCCCCACCAGCCTTGGCGGGCTGGGGATTCTTGGGAGTTGGGTCCACCCGGCTTTAAAGGTGGCGGGGTGAGAAACCATGGCTGAGG